ACATTTGCTATCAGTGAGTTGTTCGCTGTTAAACGCAAACAAGCTTCTTGTTTGAACGTATTGATCTTCAGCGTTTCCGTGAGTACGAATGTGCATTCTACTTTTCCTTCTTTTACCTTACATACCGTGGAGTGATGTTCGAGAACATTGACATGCTGCAAGGTGGAGCTGTTGCCCGCCTCCCAGAATTATGACGATCGCCAGTATCGCAGCTATCCGTTCTTGTCTGGTGCGCAGTCGTCTCGTGCGGCGCGAGAATCCTGATGCAACATCTGACCATTCATACAGTAATGACAATCAATCTTACTACTCCGCCCATTATCAAGCGTATTGATTTTCCGATGATCATTGTCACAAATAGTAGTAAATAGAGCAGTGCGACGGTGACATATAGGAGTACGACTCCAATGAGTATGGCTCTTGTTGGCCAGCATTCCGGATTTAAAAATGCTGTGATACATAGACTGCCGCCAGTGCTTTCACAAATTAAGAGCTGGGCACCTGGTTTTCATGACAGACAGACGTTGGGGGGGGGGTGGAGGCATTGCGAAGTGGAAAGTCAAAAACTCAATCTTTGTAAATTGTTATATTCGTGAATCAGACATCGTCTCTATTAGTCGTCCCAAAAGTAAATCGTATTCCTAAGTAAATCCGACTGTTTTTTTTCCTAGTAGACTACTTAGGGTACCACTCGAAGGAGCGAAGCAAGCTCTACAAACTGAAAACCGAAGATCCGTCCAAGTCGTGGTCCAGGTAAAATTTGGGCGCAAAGATCATTTTTTTCAATTACCCTAAAAAGCAATCTCCTTCCACAAAATTTCTACTACGGATCTCTTACTTGGTCGTTATACAGTAGACACATAGCAGTATCTAAAAATGTACTTGAGAGATTTTTTGCGGGGCTCAAAATTGAGGAGTTAAAATGGCTCAAAAATGCGAAAATGCCACTTATCTCGGGTTTTTCTTGTTGAAGGCAGCGTCCAGGCAAATCTGGGCCCATATGGATCTCACTTGGAGAGTAATCTTGGAGCCCTAACTAAAACATTGCCCAAACGGCAGCTCAAATGGTGAGCTCACAGTCGAAATATTTGATTCCAAACTGGACCCCGGGATCGTATTCTCCTGGATTCATGGCGCGACAAGTTTCGCGCGAGGACCCACGCGTGTCGCGCCATGAATCGCCTCCAAACTGGTCCCCGGGTATTCGAGCGGGGTCCAGTTTGGAGGCGATATCTCAACTGTGAGCTTATCATTTGAGCTGCCGTTGGGCAGTGTCTTAGTTAGGGCCCTAAAACTACTTACCACAGCAGAACCCCCTATGTCCAGATTTGCCTGGACGCTGCCTTTAAACTTGATATTTCTCGATTAACAAAGCACAAGCAGAGGTAGAATTTTGAGATTTTACTCAATAAGGCTTGTAGTATACAACGCCATATGTGGGAGGGCTGGCGGCGGAGTTTGCCATTTTTAGACTAACTCTTTTTTCTCGCTTTCTAAGGGCGGAAAAAATCCAGTAGAAGCATATTTGACTACTATTTTGTGTCTGCTGTATAATGACCAAGTTTGAGGTCCGTAGGATTTTTCCTCGCAAAAATCCAATTTAGGTGATAAATTTTTGTTTCGATTTTTGCTCCAAATTTTAACCTGGATTACGACTTAGGCGGATCTTTTGAAGTCGTTTTGTATAGCTTGCTTCGCTATCGAATGGTACCCTACATTTGCTAAGAAAATAAAAACAGTTGGATTTATGGTACATCACGAAGAACTTTCCATGTTCGGCTGTCTTTCAATCTTGGCATATTATATACTTGTGTATGGTATTATTTCAGCCAATAGTCTATTGGCTGAAATAATACCATACACAGTTGGATTTTTTTAGAAATACGGCTTACTTTTGGGACAACCTAATATATTGCTCGAAGGGCACTCGCTTGCCTTTGTTACTCAGAATAAAAATATTTGAAAACCCTGCTAGATTATAAGGAAGGCGAAGTAATTAGCGCCTCCGCCTTGAGGTAGAGTAATTAGCGCTAGGACGGGGCGGTGCAAGGGGGCATACACCCACACTCGAGGGCGCACTTGATACGTTTTGGGCCGCGAAATCTCGCACGGCACAATGGCGTGCAAGTGTTACCCAGGCAGCCGCCAGAGCTGACTGAGGCAGCAGTCGGCTGCATATGGTAGAATGCATGGGGTAGGATAATTACGCTAGCCGTCTGAAACCTCTTGCCGAGAGTTTTCCTTGCACCTCGTCGTGGTGGGGCGTGATATCAGCAGCAGGAACGCGATATTATCAATATCTATCATTCCAGACAGCAAAATTTAGTTTACTGCGAAGTAGGCCACCACTTACAAAACTATACAAGCAACAAATTTTCAAAGTTTTACAGACAATTAGAAAAGTGAACAAATGGGGGTACTGGAAGACGTGGTACTAGAAGTAACTGAGGCGCGAACCGGCAATATCATACACGATGACCGGGTAAACTCCTTGTTCACTTCGAGTTCCCTGCGAAATTCGGGGGAACTTCATTAGTGAAGTGTACAGCTGGGAGGGCACAGATTATGAATTTTTTTTCGAATTTCCTCAAGATAATAAAGTCGAAGAATACCTGGAGAAGTGATGATTTTTACTTGTATGCTTGTTGAGCCTGAGGCTCTTATTCGATTTTATCGGTTTTGATCATTTTTTGCAGATCACCTACGAAGCTGGGATTTGGCACAGGGGGAAATCGGGCATGCTGATTACGAATACAATATTAGTTTTCAGAATTACCCTTTACTTTTATCGATTTTATCAATTTTTTCAAAATTTGAGCTGAAGGGATGGGAGTTGGCACAGGGGGTAAGTGGGCATGCTGATTTCGAAAACAACACGGGGAACGGGAAATGAAGTGTAGAAGTGGACACAGGGAAAGGCTGTACAGGGATAGGAATGGGACGTTTATTACAGTGTTTTGACAGGGCCGGGCGGAGCCTTGCGCTAAATGTTGTGTTTCGCACTTCTCTTACGCGTACTTTCACATTATTCATCATCTAACGTCGCAATCATACCGAATTCTCGAAGTCGTGGATTTCTCTCAAATTTGGTCCATGGGGCTTTCCTGAAATAATGCTCACGAATATCACACTTTTGGCACAACGCCTTTCTGTATTGTTGAGGTGTCAGATGATTAAGAATCCCAGATCTGCTAGAAATTTCGTGCAGGGGGATCTTTAGCATCCTAATCACAGTTATGACCACGGTTGTGAATAAAAGTCTTTTTGCGCGATTCAAGTGGGTGACTATAAAGTCTTGGCCGAGTTTGATTTTTGATCCAATCTTCTCGATTCATCGTCTATAAAGTACATTCGCTCTAATCAAAAATCGCGTTTTGTAATCTAGTCTGCACTTTTTTACTGTTCGCCACTCCTCCGCCCGAATAACTTGAACTGGCCCGTGACCAGGTGCGGTATTTATCAATCTCCTATATGGGAAGGGATTCCTGTACAGGTTACGCCCGTACAGGCGTGGGCACTGGCACCCGCGATGCACGAAGCCAAGCTGGTGATCGGACTCCTGCCTGTTGGAGATATGGTCCGATCTGGCAAATTTGGCCATGTCGGGCACGGCAGGGTATACTTGGGACCGAATCGAACAATTATTTGATCATTCGAATGAAAGTCGAATATTTGAAAATCTAAGATTTCGAATAAAATTCTAAAGTCGAATATTCGAAACTGTTAGTTTACGAATATATTCGATATTCCAATATTCGAAGATTTCAACTTTCGAATATTAGTCGATAGTCAAATATCCGATGGTCACAGAATATTTGAGGCATTTGATGAACATCGGATATTCGAATATTCGATGAGCACATTGCAAAGGTTTCTATCAAGTTACAGCTCTCATTGAGGAGTGTATACGTTTTGTGATCCTGGTGCGATAGTCTGTACAGTAATCGTGGTGCGCCATTTTTCGTGTCGCGATATGTAACGGCCATTGATCTTTCGTTTATCCTCCAACATTGTCTACAGTCGAGTCATTTCATATCGTGTCCTCCAATAATCTAGGATGGGAACGCCAAAGGTGGACAGTGCGTGCAATGACACAAGTATACTATATGCTTATCGTCGAATTGTTGACAGCACGGACTGGCTGTAAAGAGCCCGCGCAGCGCGGTTGAGTATCAGAGAAAGACTTGTGCATTAGCAACTTGTATGGTACGAGCGTTCGAGCGAGGGTGCTGAGCGTGCTCCGCAGCCTGCGATCAGTCCGTGCGATCATCGAGTGGACAACATATACATTGATCGTTATGCTACGGATGTCCTCAAGAAATCAGTGGAAGTTACAGCATCTCAGAAGAAACGTATGTCGAAGACTCAGAAGAGCCCGCTATCGAAGAGTAAGATCTTTATGCTTTTGATGGCTCAGAGTTGTTGCATGCATAAATTTGCCCAGAAAAGACCCACAATACTTGTATACTATTTGCTTGGCCATGTTAACATATCACATGGACTAATTTTTCGAATAATATTCGGAAACCAAATGATATTTAAAAGTCGAATGATATTCGATATTCGGATTTTTGATTTTCGAAGACTATTCGATAGTCGAATATTCAAAATTTTCGATTTTCGAATATAATCGAAAGTCGAATGTTCCAGATTCTCCATTTTCGAATATCATTCGATAGTCGAATATTCGTTAATTTTCGAATATATTCGATATTCGGATATTCGGAAAAAAATTCTGAATTTTCCCAAGTATATTGAACAGTACATTTGTGCCTTTACGAAGACATCCTCATATCGGAAGGAAACCTATTGTAGAAAACAGAAGACAATTACAAACTTGGCATTGCAAACTCGGTGATGTACCATGTACAGCACCGATCTCAAACGCGTCAAAAACCGTGCAGTGTTAATATGCCGAAATAGCAGCTTACAAGCGGCGACAGTGGTTAACCAACCGCCTTCTCAAACGAACGAGCAAACATAGTATACTCATCATTAAGGTGTATTTGGTGAAGGACATGCCGTCCTTTGATGATTACGGTAGAAGACTCCACGGGCGCCCACAGCAAAAGCCCGTCCAGCGTTATTCCATCGATATTCTTGGGTTTGACTCAACATCGCGAACGATGTTTATGCGACATTTGCCACGTAGCATGGAGACGATGAACAGATTAGGTTACGAGCTGTTCTACGGATATAACAAGGCAAGTTTGCATTCTAAACTTAACTGCTGTACTTGTATAGGGGTGGAGGACTATATGGCGCCGAAGGGAGGTGGTCGCACGCGGACATCTGCAACAGACCATGCAGTTATAAAGGCTATTGCATGAGGAAGGCGCAGAGTCAGTATTAGTTGAGCGGGAGCGAAGGTCGGCGCGCGCGTATCCTCACCATTGTAATTCCTGCGCTTCATGCCCCAAAGATACCGGGCCTTCGTCATGCAGCAGCCTATACATATTACGGGCAATTAGAAATTGCATCGGCTGTCCGCGCTGGGTGGAGCCTATCTTCGACGTATAGCCCCCGAGGTGCCCTATATGCCCCCCCCCCCACCCCTAACAGAGGCAGGAAGCGTGTCCAAGCTATTCGCAGCGGCACCCGAGCGCGCTTTTCTCACTTCTTCAAATTCTCGTCTAAGCTCAGCTGCGCTGCTGATACCGATCGCTATCTGTATGTCTGGACACTACCTTCGAGCAATTCAATGAAAACAGTGATTGTTTTGCGGTTGAGACTACTTTTTCCGGTGAACCTCTTCAGACCTCAAGGGGCCATTCTCAAGAAACAATCAGACAATTCCAAAGTAATGTACGGTCGCTATCCAAAGAAAAAACTCCGTGTAGACAATGCCAATGCTGGCCAATGTTAGTGGATAACCTCGAAATTTTAGAAGCTACTAGCTGGTGGTCCCGGTCTCACCCGAGACTTCAAGTTAGTTAAGCCAACAGAACTTGTAAACTTACGCCTCTAGATTTCTTCCAACGTGCGCGTAAAGCGCTTTCAGACTAAATGCCGCACCCTACCAACTTTAAGACTGAAATGGACTTTACCGCCCCTGCATGCATGCTTATATGTAAAAATGATCGGTTGCCATGATGGCCCTTCATTTCATAAGGTTTGAGTAAACAAATCAATAAATCGATAGAATGGCTCGGCGAATCGCAGCGGAAAGTAGCTCTAAACCACCGCCGGGGTCGAAAATATACGTGTGCGAAGTTTCAGCCGGATCGGTTCAGTGGCGCGCGTTTCTATAACGAACGAACAACTAAACGAACATCCTCACAGACATTGAGTTTTATATATATATAGATTTTTCTTTCACAGTTAGTATCTACATGATCACCACAATGCATTGCGATTGGTACGGCAACCATGTGTATACAGCTCGCAATCAAAGGCAACTACCACGTTGAATAATAAAACTTACAATGGACTAGCAAGATTGCGAAGCATGAATTCAACCAATGCAGTATTCAGTTATCATTAAACGGAAACCATTGGTTGTCGAGGTAAAGCACAACAATAACACCGTACGATAACAAATCGTTGCGATTAGCACACAAAAGCTAATGGCACTATTTTTTCGGGAAAATCTAAAACATTGTATCCTGCATACCGATCACTGCAAATTACAAACAATAGTACTTGTAAGCAAAATTTCAACATTTGAAACAGATCTAAAACATCTCATAGATAATATGACCTCACAAGCTTTTCTCCAATTCTCTTTTCACGTCGTAAAAAATGGTTGCGTGAGGAGTAAATAGGAACTTTTGTACTATTAAAGTAGACCGCAACCTCACGCGGCTGTAAAGCATATGCACATGGTGGACATGTGTGAGTCGCATTGAACAACTTCTTCCACAAACATGCGCCACGTGATTCAAGATAGAGTTGGTACGCCTCTTTCAGTCACGGTTACTGTACCATACGGTAGGTATGTGCAAAAGGAAAGAAACTAGCTAATGTCATGTGCGTCGTTATCACCTGTATCACCTGTATCTCCGTTGATCATCGTGTTCCACAGCGGTATCAGTGATGCCTCCATTCGTCTTGTCTCGGCGGTTGTTGACCAGTGTTTACGTATCGCACCAGGAACAGCAAAGCTGTGAAGGACTTCACTAGAGGACTCCGTAAACATATCTGACCATTGCGTCGGCGGTCTTCCTCGTTCGCGTTTGACGTACAGTGGTACCCAATCTGTTACAGCTCTCGTCCAGCGGTTGTCGTCGAAACGCTCTCATCTTGTTCTGCTTGGCGTACGCGGCAGCGTCCCTGATCTTCGATCGTTGACGTAGGGTAGAACTTCGTAATCTTTGCCTCACTTGCGTGAATCGATTCACTCCTAGCATCACTTTCTCAACAGCTCGTTCGATGACGCTAACCGCATGTTCATTCTGCTACCTCATTGTCCATGTTTCTGAAGCGTACGTCAAAACAGGAAGAACCGTCGAGTTGAAAAGGTGGGCACGAAGCAGGATGCTCTTGGTCTTCTTAACTACGTCCTCAGTTGTCTTATGTGCACTCCATGCTTCACATTTCCTCCTGCTCAGTTCCGGAGCTAGATCGTTCATCATATTGATTTCCCGACCTAGGTAGGGTTTAGCTTGAGTACTCAGTGATGTTCGTCCCCTTGATCATAGCATCTGGCACTCTTTCGTTCCTCATAAACAGCATTTTCGTTAGGTTCAGCCGTAAACCGATCTTTTCACACACTTCATCAAACTGGGCCAACGTTTGTTCCGCCTGCGTGATGCTTACCAATACAATGTCATCTGCAAAGCGAAGATGATGTAGTCGCCGGCTGTCGATTTTCACTCCCATGTTGTCCCATTCCAACTTACGCATGACGTTTTCCAGACGGCACTGAATAGTTTCGGTGATATAATATCGCCTTGTCGGCGCCTCTCTTCACGTCGATGATGATATTCTCGTAGAATGGTGTGATGCTGGTTGTGAAGTCGTTAAACAGTTCACGAATTATCTTGATGTACTGAGTAGGGAGACCTTGATTGCTCAAGGCATCGATGACGGCTTCAGTCTTAATCGAGTCAAAGGCCTTCTTCAAGCCGATGAAGGTGAGACAGAGCGGCATCTTATACGCTCGTGACACTTTAATGAGCCTTGACACCGTTTGTATGTGGAACCTTGACTTCCGTGAGGCACCGCGTGAAGAGCCTTGCCAAGGTCTTGATGAGAACTGGCGAAAGATTTTTCAGATGTTCTGGCCTAATCCTGTCGGGCTCCAGTGCTGTACGGTTCTTCATCGACATGATAGCATGACGAATCTCGGAAAGAAGAATATACGGTGCGGCATGCCCATCCTCCTTGAGATGGCATGGTGGGAGGTGGACGTGGCTCGCAAAGAGATATAAGTGGAAGTCGTGGATGACCTTCTCCCTTGATTTTCGGGAAGCAGTCATGGTTCTGTCTGCACCAACAAATGCCGTCATCTTTATCTTGAAGTTGATAAAGCTTCGGTGGGCGTTGCGTCTTCTTCCAGCCTCCGCGGCGCCAACCATCACTGCTATCCTTGAGGCCTTCTTTTATCGCTTCTCTGCTTCGCAAGCTGGGACGTCAGTCGGTAATTGCCCTGTGCGGTCCACATTGGTGTATCAACTCCAAAGTCTCCGCGGTGAAACACCTTCTCGTACTTCTTAGACTCTGAGCTTCCTTGGCGCAATCGTGGAGATGTTGAACGAACCGTTGTATTCTTCGTCGATGTTGCCGAGTTCGTTGTTGTTCCACAGTCGGCCTTCTAGCTCCGATCTTCGCGTCGAAGTCACCGACGATGATCTTGTAGAAGGTGTGAGCTTCTCTGTAGAACTTCTCCAAGTCCATATAAAATGCCCCGAGTTCCTCCTTGTGGTAGCTGGATATTGAGGCGTACAAATGAAGACGGTCAAGGTCCACATCTTGATATTGGCAAACGTTCGATTCGTGTTGTGAGTTGTTCGAACGATGTTTAGCCAAACTCGTGTTGACAAGGACTTCCACTCCACCTCGCCTCGATTGTCGCTTGTTGATGTGACCGGCTCATTGACGATGTGACCGGTCCATTGATACTTCGCCTTCGCAACATTCCACTAGGTCACAAAGACGGGTCCTTCTTCTCATATTCATGCTGCGAAGTCCGACAAGATGTTGCTTGTGCAAGTTGGGCTTCAAAAGCAGTTGGTAGGGTTCCAAAAGGTTCTATCCCGTATCATGAAACCGCTTTTGAAAGTTTTAAGCTCTTTTTCTGATTTTAAACAAAACTCGCATGGTAAGAACAATGCCGTGTGTGGAAGCATAGAGATTAATTTGTACCCTTCTTCACTGAGAGTGGTGGAAGGAGGAGCTTCTATCGTTAATTACCTGAGAAACCATAGAGAGCACGCCCGCGAGAGAGAGATGCACAGCTCAGAACTACCCCACCACCCGCCACGCCCAGTAGTGATGCAGAGTTTAGGACCGTTGGAAAAAAGGAAGAAATGTTGCATTTCATGTTCCTTGTGTTCTTTTATCTTTATCTCGCATAATTCGATGATAGGATTGGTTTACAACAAAATATCGGCTCACTTCAACATTTATAAAGATTCAATGCCTATCATCATTACGCCGATTCTATGAAGATTTCTGACTTTCCTAGGAGCATACAGTACAATAATACATAGCATGGCAACAAGTGATTAAGGTTATTCAGGTTGGGGATAACTCAGAAATAAATATTGTGCCAATTCTTGCTGGAGATCTCCCTGAAGCTCTAGTACGACCGAGACTGAACAAGTTTCGCGATATCAACACTAATTGGATTTTGCCAAAACGACGGCATCTTGATCCAAATAAACTTCCTTTTCTTTGGAAGATGATGCGAGACCGTGAGTTCAACTTATTCCTAACTGTCCTCGGAGCTTTTTCGTCTCCAAATGTCATTGGTGCTGACCAATTTATGATAGACTCAAATTTACTGTCAATTTTTGATTTACTGAACGAAGTTTCAATCCAGCTCAATGAATATTGTGGAAGTGATCAAGTTATAAAGTAGCAACCACTTTTCACAATGATAGGAAGCAAATATATTGAATGAAATGGCAATGAAGAGCTAGCTGACAAATTGACACTATTGTGATGGCGAAAGATCGTTCTTGAGCTCTGATTCTATTTGAAGACAGCGTCCGGGCTGCTTTGAAGCACCTACCCTATTTTCAGGTGTATAAGCCGCACTTTTTCAAATTTTCATACGACATAATCTGCGGCATAAGGTATGCCGCAGATTCTTTCAGGCACTGCGCAGCAAGGCATAGGGTCCTTTGGTTGCGAGGTCCTTTGATGTGTTAGGGCCAAAGGTGCGATAGTCGGAGCCGAGTCTTCGCCTACTTCACTTTTGAGCTGGTACAGGGCGACCATCTTCACGTTTGGGTTTTGGAAATTTTTGCTGAAGCTAAAAAAAGGAAAGTAACCAAAACGAACGCAAAAGAAAATATTGAGAACATATTTTTATGTAGTTCACTTTTAGGAACTTGCCGTCGCATACTGCGAGCACCTGAAGGCTATCACCGACATGGACGCATCTACGCCTCAGCACTCTCTACGATTTTGGAGAACAAAGCTTCATGATGACTTCGGATAATCCAAAGCTTTAACCTAATGGTCCTCTTTAGAGCCAACACTGTGACCCAACGGCTCTCTTTAGAGCCACAACTGCTATGAATACAGCGGCATAAATATTTGAAATAAACGTGTTAATTAAATGATGTATTTGTCAGTAAAACTCAGTTAGACCTTACTTATTTTATTAAGTTAATTTTGTTATAACGTACTGCGAATAAAGTAGGTCGATCCAGGCAGTAACCACCGAGAACCAGAATTTCGAATAATAAAACAGTGAAAAATCATGCAAAATTTCCACTGTTATAAATCTGGTGGTGAAAGATGTCAGCAACTGCGACTTCCTAGGCTTTGAAGGGCAAGTGTTGGTCTACCAGACCAGGTGAAAGAATTAGGTTGATTTGAGCAGTGGCCGCCGAGAAGGAGAATTTCAAAAAATTAAGCGATTTTAGGTTACTTAGTGACAGCTGACGTTTAGACTCCTATAAATCTGGAATGTGAAGGTGTGCAATGCTGCAGCTTTATATCTTTTGTAGAGTGAGGATTGCACTATCAGACTATGCCTTAACCTTACTGATCCATCAAGATAACGCCGAGATTTGGGCTCTTAAAAAAACAAGTAAGAAACCGCTTTTCAGATTTCAACAGCTCATAACTTCTTCAGAATTGCATGAATCATGTTGCGACTTCATATTTTGAATTCTCCTCTTCAAGAGCTTTCAGAAGATATATGACATATGGGGGGTTCAGTGATTTTTGCTGAAACTTTTCATTCCAAAATCCCACCTCGCCCATATCAATGTATTGGCTGGAGGCCGCCCGGGCATATGCCGTGAGAGGCGTGAAACTCCCACATGTTATACATATTCTGAAAGCTCTTGAAGAGGAGAATCCAACCTACGAAGTCGCAGCATGATTCATGCCAGTCTGAAAAGATTATGAGCTGTTGGACTTTAAGAAGCGGTTTTTTAACTGTTTTTTCAAGAGCCTGGATCTCGGCGCTTTTTCAGTGGATCTACGGCTAAACATAATATGATAGTGCAATCCTTACTCTACAAAACATATAAAGTTCCAACACTGCACACCTTCACATTCCAGATTTATAGGAGTCTAAACGTCAGCTGTCAGCCGTTGGGTTACAGTGTTGGCCCTAAAGAGGACCATTGGGTTAAAGCTTTGGATTATCCGAAGTCATCATGAAGCTTTGTTCTCCAAAATCGTAGAGAGTGCTGAGGCGTAGATGCGTCCATGTCGGTGGTAGCCTTCAGGTGCTCGCAGTATGCGACGGCAAGTTCCTAAAAGTAAAATGAGTGAGAAAATAGCTTTTATTGATCTTTGGATTAGTTTTATCTATTTCTCCTTTTTATTAGTCAGTGAAGAAGCTTTCGAGGAAATTTTTTGCGAAAAGAGACGGCGAGCTGTGCTTCCCCTGTCCCGCACTACCAACTTCACTTTTGCCGGCTAGTGGTAGCTGGGACCACCTTCACTTTTGGGGGGCCTCTCTCCACCCATCGCACCCTGGTTCGGGCTGGTCGATGTAGGCTAGGACCACCCCGCGACTTATACACCTGAAAATAGGGTAATTCCTACGCGTTACCGAAACGGACACACCATGCAAGCTATAGCCCGAGTGCGAGAGCACAATACCGCTTCTGGAGCGAGAAAACAGCTATAAGTGTAAAGTTTAGAAATTCAAACAGACAGAACAGATTGCTTCAGAATCATCCTCACCGCGGCAGGAAATCGCGCACACGGCAGTTTCGTCGCTGTCATTGGCCGCAGCGGCGTGTCTCGGCGCAATTTCGTGCCTCGATAGGGACGCTCTATCTAGGGGGGGGGGGGTCTGTTTATACTTCTGAAGCTGTTTTCTCGATCCAAAAGCAGTATTTTGCTCTCGCAATCGGGCTATAGCCGCATATCCGTGCAAATTTTTGCGGAACTCCGCCTCTGACTCGCGCAGAAGACGACTCGTTGCTTTTTCTCTTGAAAGAGATATTTAGCCCATGTGCTGTTCGTGCGAAGCCTTTATCTATACGACACCCTTTCCCGCCCTTCTGACCTGGGAAACCACCCCTCAATGTGAAGGAATACTCGACGTTTGACCCCATAAATCCGTTAATTTGAACGATACAAAACTTGGATTTTGTTAAATGACATGATTTATATAAAACTCATGGTCCCTACCACATATCTCAATTTCCAAACACCGACTTCCTTTTTCTAGCATGGGCTCCTCATTAGAGGTGGAAAATTGGGGCTTAAAGGCAGCGTCCCACCAAACTGGGGGGTACCTGGCTCTGGTATTAATTTGATAGTAGACCCCCTAACTAAGGGTTGTTTCAGACTACCGCACTGACCGCAGCAGACTGCAGCAGACTGCAGCGGACTGCAGCAGACTGCAGCAGACTGCACTGACCGCAGCTGACTGCAGCAGACTGCAGCAGACTGCAGCTGACTGCAGCTGACCGCACTAACCGCTAACCACACTAGCAGAAAAACGCTCGCCAAAGTTTGACTGAGAAGAGTGAAATTAGAACCTATGATCTCCTTGGGCGTAAATTACGGTGTTTTGACGCAACCGTGGTTGTTTTCTTTCAAAAAGAATGCAGGGATCGGCGCGGCCGTTGCGGTCAGTGCGGTCAGCAGCAGTCTGCTGCAGTCTGCTGCAGTCAGCTGCAGTCAGCTGCGGTCAGTGCGGACTGCTGCAGTCTGCTGCGGTCAGTGCGGCAGTCTGAAACAACCCTATGCGTGCTCTGGCCTTGCAGTTGGAAACTGATCTGTGGGCGGCGTTCGGGCTTACCGTAAGATTCGGGCCACTTGGGGGCTATTTGTAGACTTCGTAGACCCCCTTTCGCGCTGCAAACTTCTGCCGTCGCTTAGTTAGGGGGTCTACTATTACATTAATACCAGAGCCAAGTACCCCCCCCCCCCCCCAATGTGGTGGGACGCTGCCTTTGAAGGCGCCATCCACCTAGTTTCTCGACTACCAGTTTTTTGTCGATTCAGGGCCTTTTCATGTTCCTGATTCCAAATATGAGGTCGAAAAACCGCGAAAACCCCGACAATCCCCATTCCGGAGTACCCGCAGGCCGGCTTTGTGGAACGGCGATTAGACGGGCGCCGCATATGGGCGGGCATGGATGAGGGGGGGGGGCGTCTGGGGGTCCCCGTGCACCTTCGTTTTTCCGGAGCAATTTTTTCGCTTCTATTTTGCGCCCAACTTGGGCATTGGCGTGATAGGGGACCCTACTATCATATGCTGCCAACAGCTCAAAACTTCAACTTAGGGTGGACAGTGCTTCTAAGAGTTGGGCGTAACCCTAAGTTCTTGTATCAAAGCAATCGGTGAGACGTGGCGCAGAAATGTTTCGAGGTTTAAGACGTGAGACGGGAATTACGGCAGCATTTGCCAGATGTTATTGAACCAAATCGAAGCAAAGATTGGGAACGGAATTTAACAATCACGTAGTCAGACAGGGGTTTTTAATGAGGTGATATGGACGCTAGCGCCGGCGATACATGCGTTCATGTTTCTGATCGGGTAAGAGCCCGACTAATAACCGTTAGAAGAGGGTAGGCATGCCACTAACGCAAGATAACGCATATTGAATAGACTTTTTCGTTTTGTTTGAAAGCAATCTCTGGTAGCTTCAATAGGCAAGTCTTGTATTTCGTCAATAACAACTGAGGCACGATCATTCTTCTAAGATAAGAATCAATGGATGGACGTAACTGTAATGGAGGCCAAGTTTGTGATTTTACAAATGTTTATTGCTTCAGAGGAATAGGCTTCATGTATACAGAACTTAGCAGCAATTTTTCATAGTAACATAGTTAGACAATTAGGCGTCTTCTTCAATTTTTTGAGTGGAAATTTTCTCACAAAAACACGCATGTTTGCAGGTTAAATGAGAGATGTATCTCCGAGTAGAAGGGAGCTAGGAAAAAGGGACAGTCTACATTAAATCGCCGTTCTGACTGCTTTCTAACGGTATATAGGTTGTTAGATGAAAAAACTTGCGGCTCTTCAAAAATGTGGAGATATTTACTATCAGCCTGCTCCACCCCGCCCCCTCACTGGCTTGACTGTCATGAGTCGTTGGAACAAGATTTTCTAGAGCGGGGACGCTTTATGCACCAACAGTTTATATACCATTCGATAGCTCAGAGCACGGGGAATCGACGTAGGCCGGTGGACCGTCTCTTTTTTCTAGACGTTCTGCGAAGCGAGGTATGAGGAATTTTATCTAGTCATATTATCAGCTAATTTTCATGAGTTATTTTATGTTTTATTTTGGAAACGAAAAGGTATTTTTTGAGGCCTCGCATACTGGGAGGCTCTAAAATTGAGGAATCTGACTGTTATCTTTAAGCTTTTCAATGAAAGAAGATTTAATTCAATTCTTCTTAGTAGTCATACATCCACTGGGCAAACCAGACTTTCTACCCTTGATCTTCTTCCCTGCAACAACATATATATTATGTTATTGAATAATGTGGCTTACTCAAAAAATCGACATCTCATAAATTTTCAGGTTTACTTCGCTAATAAAGCTAAACCACATTTAGTAAGACAGAAAATATCAAGCTTACATTTATCACAGTAAACGCTGTAAAAGTGCAGTCATGTAATGCACTGACTGAAAAGAAGCAGCCGCTGGCGGTCCCAAACAAAATGTGCGCACTTTATCATAGGTGTTCCAATCTGCCGTTATGTCTTGACTGTAGTTTCAATTCGGGTGATGGGGGTCATCCAGCTGCTGGCTAAAAGTGAAGGGGGGGGGGGGAGAGAATTTGCTCCACCTATCGCACTTATGGCTTGCTCTTGCAGGGAAAGACCATCATTGATCGTGATCATTTAAAATAGGATGTGTACCGTGACATCTTTAACGCTGTTGTTAAAATTGCCTTCGATATGTAGTCGAATTCATTAGTGTTTACCTAATTTGTTTGATGGAAGCTGCTGAACAAAATCCGAGACAGAGAACTTTGTCTTTGGAGTAGTTAATCCAAATTTACCATTTAAACTTCGGCATTACCCAGATAATGTTCGCAGATATGGAAGGCATGTTCGATTGATTCATACATCATTATAAACTGCGGTCACTAAGTATAATTCCTTGTCAGCTTATCGCTCATTGAAGCAATATATAGCACAGTGGAAGGAAAAATATATCCACATGCTTGCATTTGCTGTAAGTAACAAAGTTTTTCTTGCAGAATTTGGATGCCGTTCAATGCTGAATGAAGACATTTCCAAGAAAATGTTTGGATTGTTTCACTATCCTCCTAAAGATTTCCTTCCTGGATTCACATCACCACCTGCGGATCACTTTTATCGCGCTTACTACCTGGCTGTGTACAAGGTTATTACCTTTTTTCAACTGTTTATTAACGCCTTGTCAAGGGCTTTTGTTTTTGTACGTTTGGTGTAGCTGATACGGAAAGATATTTTTATCTTTCCTTCATTTCATACTCAAAAGTCGTAACTTTTCACTGTCTGGACAGATTTGCTTTGCTGTAATTCTAACAAAACGATGAAGCGTTGTACTTTCAGTACTGCATTAGCGAGTTTATCCCGAAAACTGTGCAGTGGTAATATGGGATGAGCAAAATTATTCAAGTTCGATTATTTTAAGTTAGGCCGCCAAAATTCTGCAACGTTGCAGTAAATTCCGGATCTCAGCACACATTTACGACCTCCTCTTTCTAACTGTAAAAAGTCTGTGCTGATCGGACATCTCTATCAAAAGTTATAATTTTTGGGGAGGCAGAATAACCAATTTCGTCAATTTTTATTGTAAACTCACAATCATGAATTTTTATAGAAACATCCTATCAACACAAGTTTTAACTTGGGAAGAGTAATACTAGAACTTATTTCGCTGACGACTTTTTATGCAAGGTTTCAGATTTCTGGCGACCTAACTCAAAATGATTGAAGCTTGAATGATCTTGTTTATCTAATTATGTGTGCAACCAGTGTTTGGGGAAACTCGCTAAGACGGTACTACAAAGTAGAAGGCCTCTTCATTCTGATAAATTACAGCAAAAGACATCTGCCCATAAAAACTACGATTTGCATTACTGCAGTGCATGCATAAATCAATGCGCTTATACCCTGAATTGACAGTTTCTGACGAGCTGTATAGCCAGTCAGATATGTGTATAGTCAGATCACCGCAAATAGAAGTCTGCGATATCTGCCTATTCTTGATCTCCAAAATTATAAACTGAGAACATATGTGAACACAAAGGGATGTGACCACTTTCTGCCATGATGGGTATGGCATCTTTGCACAACTTTGCTCGAGTGGGGAGCGCATTTCATATCAAGCATAACCGGACGGGCTGCGCTCCAGCCAAGTCCAACACGATTTTGGCAACAGTTGGGCTCTATTTTTTCAGGGGTTGGGGAGAGGGGGAGGAGGGAAGGGATAGTAGAGAAAGAGCATCATAACACCCTAGCTAGCTAAACTGACGCGCTCAAACACGAAACACGAGCAAACCACAATATGAATTCTAAATTCAATAAATGGTGGTAGACGATTCCTTTGCAACGCATGGTCAACATTCGGCAAAGCGAACATGGATTCTCGCAGCATCCTATGTTCCGAATTTACTGGTTTGATCTGTTCCGTCTGCTTTTTTGATATGAGATTACCTTGAAGGCTGTTCTATGACGGCCCATCTTTTGTATCTAAACCATCGCAGGCAAGCGGTTTGGGCCGCCTTTTGGATCTTCCAAGAGAAACATGTTCCAAAACGCTCGCCTTCTACATTAGACTGCAACGTAGTGCACTGCTTGTTGACTTGTTAAAGGCAGCGACTCGGCAGAATTTCAACTTCGGGGTTTTGGCAGATTTGGGGCTATTCCGGCCCCCTGACGACATGAACTCCCCTTAGCGCGGAAATGGGGAAAAACCCGTCTGTTGAACGCCCTTGAGACGGGCGCGGACGAGTGAGCCGTTTTTCTCTGCCGCAGAGACGCAGAGTAAGGAGGTAGAGAGCGTTAGAACAATTGAGTGACGAGTGACGGCGCGTTTTCTAGCGGAAAACATACTCGTCCGAACAAAGTGTTAGGGGAGCGAAAGGAGGAAGGGGAGCGGACATCTTCAACTTGATAATAATTGCCTTTGTTGTCTGAGCTAGCATATGAGACTTCATTGCCCTGCACCTTTATGTATTTATAACCTCTCATACAATAGGCTTATAAGCTTCCCAATGTTCGTTGTCACGACATCATACAGCAAGTTAGGGAGAAGACTAGAGCATTGGCTGTGTTTATTTCAAAGTTGCATGAGCTGTCATCGGTTCCCTCAGCACCTAATTACTATTTTCTGTAGCCCAAAGATGTTTTACTCTTGTTCTTTGCCAAATTACTTTGCAGTAGTTGTAGAAATGCCTTCTTATATGGGCAGTACCAATTGTAGTACCTTAACCAGAGGCTTCAACGTAATTCTTTTTGCCGTAACGAATCTGAACTTGATCGGTGTTTTGTGCATTTTTAAATTACACTACATTCGTTCACAAACTTAGTGTTTAAACTGTTGAAAATTCTTTTATGCTTCAACAAAACATCGTTTTCACTTAGTCTAGTTGATATATAAGTATCTCCATTCGAAGCAGCCGACTGCTCCAAATCCTTCTTCATCATGTGCAAGTAGAATATCTTGCACATGAAACTACAATTTGACGTGGCTTTGTCCACTGAAGTTATGATAATGTTTTTGCAACTTTTTCAAAACTTCTGCATCATATTCGATCTGTTCTGGGTCAAAAATTCTAAACAATTTCGTTTTAACTTCTTTCTTAATGTACCCACTTATCTCATTTGTAAGCTGAGCTCTAACTACGAGCTAGTCTTGTATTTTCGAACGTACTTATGAACTAACTGTAAACTGAAATCATTTATCACTTTCACATTGTCGCCTTTAAAGGTTAGGGTATGTTTTCTATACTTTGTTCCTTTCTTGAAAGTAGATTTCGGTTTCGTTCTGTATGAAGTGCAGATTTCCTGTACAGACATGCTTGTGGTAATTATCAACAAATTCGTTGTAGTTTTCACACTCACATTCTTGTTCTTCTATGAGCTTCAAGCAGATTCATTGAGTCTTTTGAGAAAGTTATATACCCTAATTTCCGGGGTATAAGGCGCACCTTGTATAAGGCGCACCCGCCGCAGCGAACAATGGCGCGAAAAAGCATAGTACTCAGTGTGCTGTGGTTATCCTTCAATGCGCACAGATCGTGATTTCAGGTACATTTACTCTTCTCAGAATGTATAATGTAATATCGGTTCTACTGGTGGGATGAAGGTGTTCTCTGATTTTGTTTGAATGATTCTTTCTCTTGTTTCGAATGATGTTACCGGTGCTACATTTGTGCTTTCCTTCGTTTCCCATAATGCTGGTACTGAAACGGTCTTCCCTGTGAAGAGTGAAAGAAAAGGTGAAGATTTGTTTTGAAACAAATCACTATTGAGAGGAAAACAGCAACGGGGGCAAAAAGCTACTGCTGGGTCAAAGAGGTTACTGTTCTGCTTGTGCGGCGGCGCGCATCGCGAACGTCATCATACGTCAGTCCGCGCGCGGTGAAAGCTACTGCGCCTTATACCCTGGAAATTAGGGTAATTGAATATCCAGACTTACTGGTTCTTGCAAATTGTATCGTACTGATACCCTTATACCGTTTAGTTCATCTGTATGTTACATATTTATATTATCTATAACTATCCTTTTCATTCTTGCACCATTGCATAACTTATGAAGTTCAAGTCTATCTAGGGTGTCACCAATTTAGGGTACGGTTACCAGGGCTCGGCATGAGGTGGCTTTTTAATTTTTCAAAAGGAATTCCCCGTAGCTTTGCCACAAGAATACGACATCACCTATGACCGAATAACGAGAGATAATGAAACAAAACATAAAAGCAACATCGAACAGACGAAAAAGAAACTAAAGACGTTCGCAATCTCCGAATTGGCGGCATGCTGTGTCCGGCGCGCACCCTTGCGCGCTTGGAGCAGACTTGCCGCCGCCATACAAAACATTTGCACGGCTGTAACCAAGCGAAGAAGAGGGGGTTTAGGGAGACTCAAAAACCCGCTTGTAGGACTTCTGATGTAGAACAAAGTTATGTCAAACATGTAAAAAAGTTATGTGAAGGAAGGGAAATTTATGACTTTTTCTTTTACAGCCACCTCAGTGGCTGTCCAGGTGGCTGGAAAGCCACCTAACTCCGTAAAGTTTGCCACGCCTTCAGTTCACATAATTTTGTCATAACTTTTCGCACATAGTCCTAACTCGCTATTGCCCATCTACACACCAGTTTTGGTGTCATTTCATTTACTCATGGCTGTAAACAAAGTCTTTTGTTTATTTCGGGGCAAATTTGAATTCGCGCGCCTATCCGGCGAACCATTTGAAACAGGATTTTGGTTTTTGCAAAAATGGGATAAGGCAGGAATGACAATTTGCGTCCTCTATAGAAGATGAAAGATGACCTAAAGGAAGAACGATTGTGTGTGTAGGAGGTGGAGGGGGGGGGAGAGGAAGACTGGAGTTTCCGCTCAAACGATATCCCCCCTTGCTTTTCATTCCAAAACGATAACTAGCTGCCTTGTAAGCTACCTGTGCCGAGCCTTGACGGTTACCATTATTTCTTCCTTTTTTTAACTTCTCGTTTATCTTTTCTTTCCCAAAGTGGGGGGGGGGGGAAGTAATGCATATATCTTATGTTTATGTTCAAAAGATAACATTGTGAAATTGGGACTGGATGTGTACTCTACAAGCCTTGAAATATCTTGTTTATTAAGTATTCGGAAATACACAAAAAATCCGTTAACATGTAAAATATTTATAGTAGCTAGAACTTCCTCATTTCTATCAAGGCATTTGCTTTTCTTTTTAGATCTTTTCTTTCCTCTATATCTTTTGTTACTGACTGAGCATCTACTCAGATAATCACCGGGGGCAGGCGGTCCGCAAACTCGCGCTTTTCTGCAAGCGGTCAGCAGAACTTTGGGGCGTCGCCAAACCTTCAGCGAGCGGCACTTCCTTTACTGTTTAATGTTCTGCCAGCGGCCAGCAACACAGAATTTTCTGCAGGCGCTCGTCAAACAGTCTCTTTCAGCGAGCGCTGGTCAAATTTTCAGCTGGCACTCGGACGGTTTTTAAGCAGTTTCGGGCATACGTCGAGCAAAGGTTAGACTATACATGGCAGAGGTGTCATCGATGGTTTAATTACTCAAGTTTGAGGTACTTTCTTTCAGCGGGAAGTACCTGGGGACTGCGATGTCCTCCACAAAGGACCGTGCGGCCCTCGAAAATTTTGCATATTCTCGCGGAAAGTCCGCGAGAATGCGGCCACTGCGCCGCAGCTAATCTATAAGGAAACCGCGATTTTTCTCCAAGCATTCGTCTAAAATTTCGCTAAAATTCTTCCAAATATCTGCAAGCGGACCGCAAGAAATCAGCGAACTATTTTTCCGGTGCCCACCCGCCCATAAATCGCATGGCCGCCTGCACCCGGCGATTATCTGAGTAAAATACGGATGTTCTATTTTTTCTAGTGGACTTGTATCGTCTGAGATATTAGCAAATCCTTCAATTTGATCATGGAAACCAAATGTGTACGCAGTAACTAAGTACTGTATCCACTGTAATTCTTTATTTCTCAGATTCTTGGCATTTTCTTCATTTTCAACGAGATCCAAAACGGCTATGGTTATATTCTCAGGAACGTGTATCTCGAAAATGTTTGGCCGTAAATGTGTTCAAGTTACCTTTTCGAAAACTATTCATATGCTGATTAATTCTCAATCTTCATGATTGTTTAGTTTCTTTAATACTGTAATGTACATGTGAGACATGTGATAATGTATATCATTTTTAGAATCACAGTTAGTATTCTCTCTTTTCTTTGATTAAAGTAGTAATTCGTCGTTGAGCTTTTGACGAAACTGTTGAAGTTGATTTTTTCATATATGTGACATTTCCTTCTTTTACATTTACTGCCTTTGTAGCTATTATTAGGTTGTCCCAAAAGTAAAATCCTTTTTCAAAAATTTTAAATTTTTTTGTTTTCCCAGTAAACTTAGGGTATCATTCGATAGAGTCAACCAAGCTCTACAAAATGACCACCAAGGATTCGCCCAAGTCACATTCCATGGAAAGTTTGAAGCCAAAATCGGAAATAATTTTGTCACCTGGAAATTGGATTTCTGCGATAAAGAATCCTACAGACCTCCAACTTGGTCATTATACAGTAGGCACATAGTAGTACTCAAAAATGCCTTTACCGAATTTTTTCTGAGCATAGAAAGCGAGAAACAAAAAATGTCCAAAAATGGCACACTCCGCCCCCAGCCCCTCCCACATACGTCATTGTATACTACAGGCCTTACTAAGTATACATTCAAAACCTTACCCCTGTATGTGTTCTTATATTCGAGAAATACCAAATTTTACATTAAAAACCCGGAAAAAGTGGCATTTGGGCATTTTTGGACCATCTTTTTTTCTCAATTTTGAGCCACGGAAAAAAATCCGCTAAATACATTTTTGAGTACTACTATATGTCTACTATATAAAGACCAAGTTGGAAGTGCATCGGATAAATCGCGCTCAACACCACGCCGGTTCTCCCGAACTGTCTTGTGAGTTGTACGAATAATTGTGTTCGTAACAAGTATAATTTCAAACCCCAGAACTATAGTTCTTATATTTATCGTTTTGTATCTGTTTAATTATTTGTTTACATATGTAATTATCATTTGCTTATCTGTTGCATACTTAACTGTTTATTAAGTAATATTCTTGATGTTAATGTAACGTGGACCTCTTCATACATATACGCTAATAAGTTTCCGATTGCCTTTACCCTATTTTCAGGTGTATAAACCGCACCCTTTTTGCTCTAAACGCGAGCAGACCCAGGCGTGCCGCCGCGCATATGCCTCGCGAAGCGGTCTCCTTATCGCATACTGCTCTCACTTAACGCGCTCCATGATGACAGTCAGTCTTTTGGCGTGTTCGCCTTTAGAGCGAAAAGGGTGCGGCTTATACACCTGAAAGTAGGGTAATGCCCAGGTAGCCACAGTTATTTAATAACTTTCATGCCAGGTACACAACTATCTATGTGGTAACGGCACAACACCACTTAGGCGAATGCACGAAAATTTCCGTTTTCTTGATTTCTAACAGAGGAAAAAATACGGCAAAGGAGTATATAGGTGTCTTATGTGGATAGTGTTCACGTGAGCAAGTAAGAAGTTTTCTAGAATTTTTATGAACTGAGTTACGATTTTTTTCGATTTTTCGGGCTGCTGAGTCTTTTTAGTTTTTGGCTCAAAACTCGAAGTGGATGAGAGCCGTTGCAAAAGCAAGATGGCCATCTTGTAGAGCTTGCTTTGCTCTATCGAATGGTACTTTGCAGCCTATCTGAAAATGAGAAATGTATGACTTATTGCGGTTGAAATTTAAAACGGGCATTAATTTCCGGACAACCTAATAAATAATCGAAATAATTTTTTGATTATTTTAAAAATTCAGTTTAACCTTATAAAAAATTTTTAAAAGCCTGGTTGGCGCCACGCATTTTTTTTTCTGAAATTTCGGGGTAAGGAGCCCGCAAAAATTTTGGGAAGCATAACAAATTTTTTCGGAATGCATGGCTAACGCCGCGCATCTTCTTCAGAAAAATTTTTTTGTTGTGCCCTCCTACTCCTCCCCATCCCCCCCCCCCTGAACGGAAATCCTGGGTGCGCCACTGCTGTATAGGTATGCGAAACCGATAACGCATCCCTTGGAGCAATATGGATGTGCCGTTTTGAAGGTTAGCACGTTGACGACTACGTGACCCACATTTTGGGTCATAGTCTAATTTTATTAAAACGACTGCAGTTTTGGGGTACATTCTTTCTAGAATTTCGTTACGCTCTAACCTTAAAGATTACTTCCGCGTTTCCTGTCTGATCTGCTTCGAATTGCTGCAGATAATTGACAGATAGATAGCAACATGCGGAATTTTAGCAGAAAATTTGGTAACTTTCCGTTCCGGACCCATTTTTTCAAAAGGTTCTCACAACGTACGTTCTTTAGTCCATGAATAATTTTTTGTAGATTCTATGAAGACTGCCTCCCCGACACGTGTCAGGAAAATTTGACAAGTTTCAATCCATTTTGACTTGTTTTCTTTTGACATCATTTTCGGTGAGGTAAAAAATTACCTAAACGCCTTTCAACCGTTTTCTATAAAAGCAAAACTGCTAGAACTTATAGCAGAACATCTTATTTGCTTTCAGCAATAATTCAAACTTGTCTTCCTTCTCAAACTTTCCGCCATGCGAATTTAGTCAGGAGAGACTATAAATTAAGGCTTGTGGTATTTCGCTGCTGCTTGTTTCGCCGCTTGGATAATGGAATCCTTTCACACTTCTCCATTCTGAGCAAATCTAATCTGTCCAGAGATAACAGGATGACGTTATTGTTATAACAGTTCATTTCTGAAATCCTTTATTTGAAAATGGGGTCATTATTGACTTGAATACAGATTGTATTCAAAGGATACTGCATGACGAAGGCGCAGAAGCATTATCATTTGAGCGGGCGCAAACGCGACGTGCGCGTATCCTCACCGTGGTAAATCCTGCGTCTCATGCGCTCTGTGGCTAAAAAAGCCGCGTTCGCGCCCGACGATACTGCGCCTTCGTCATGCAGCAGTCTATACTTCTTTAGGCATTGCAAAACAAAACCTTGGTAAACCCCGTTAAACATATAGAAATCACGTCAAATTTTTTCGACATGTGGCAGAAGGTTGAAACTTCTTCCTGTGAAGTTGGTTCCAAATATGGTACAAGAAAAAAAGCAATATCCTTCTCTGAAAAAATGGGTCCGGATAACGGAAAAGTACCGAAAATTTTTGATTTATTCATGCAAGGCATTGACCCACAAGACATACAGTTAGAAATGCATGTTGTCGTCATCGTGTCGAGGTGGCCAGTTCACTCTCTGAACTAGGCTGTACGACTATTTTTTAGCTATCAGCAGGGTCAAGCAAGGGGTGTGGCACACTATCGCTGGTTACGACCCCCTCCCCTGATTGCTGTCTTAATAAGACCCCCCCCTCCTGAATTATATACCTAAGATAGCATTACCTGAAGGCCCTGTCAAACATAATGGCAATATATCCATAATGAGCATGTCAATTAACCCCTGTAGACAAAGTTTGAGCGAATTCTGAAGATTCAAGATACTAGGCTACCTAAGTGAAATGATCATTTTCCAACGTCATCTTAACTTTGTTTTAAAGGTGAAATAGCTATCCGTTTTTGCACTCAAGACAAACCACTACTCCTTCTTTGTCCATCTCAGAAATCCCGCTTCAAAAGACCTCCAAACTGTGGAATTAGAAGCCAACCAAAATCTTATTCTCCCATTTTTCACTTTTAATGGTTGTGCTTTCACCAAGTATTCCTCAGAGCAAAGAAAACGAATCAGGCTCAAATCACTCCTGTGAAAACTAGGAGATCTAGGCTTTCGATTTATATAAATACTGTTCGCTAAAAATGTTTTTTTAACGTAGTTAATGGGGTGTGGCACATCCCCTTAAAAGCTGTGAGCCACAGCTTTTAAGGGTTAGCCACACCCCATTAACTACGTTAAAAAAACATTTTTAGCGAACAGTATTTATATAAATCGATAGCCTAGATCTCCTAGTTTTCACAGGAGTGATTTGAGCCTGATTCGTTTTCTTTGCTCTGAGGAATACTTGGTGAAAGCACAACCATTAAAAGTGAAAAATGGGAGAATAAGATTTTGGTTGGCTTCTAATTCCACAGTTTGGAGGTCTTTTAAAGCGAGATTTCGGAGATGGACAAAAAGGAGTAGTGCTTTGTCTTGAGTGCAAAAATGGATAGCTACTTCACCTTTGAAACAAAGTTAACCATGTTGGAATATGACCATTTCACTTAGGTAGCCTAGTACCTTGAATCTTCAGAATTCGCTCAAACTTTGTCTGCAAGGGTTAATTGAAATGCTAACTATGGATATGATACGAGTATCATGTTAGCACTATTATCAGATTACCCAACTACGACACCCTCCCCTTTTGACTCCTCAATACGACCCTCCAGGTGTGGCGTGCCACACCCCACGCTTGACCCTGGCTATCAGCGTGTCGGCAACGTACAGTCTCGAAGAAATCGTTTTAGAATTGGCTATATACACAGTGCAAGGATGGCGATCAGGTCCAGCGCAGATACGTAGATCTTTGGCGACGATTTTCAAATAAGTACAAAGATGTGTGTCACTTTGGTTTCACATTCATGTCAACGTAAGAATCAATAGAACAAAAGTAGCGGCTCTTTGCTGCAGAGTATTTTAGCCTGTCCCATGAAGAGGGTTTTGTGCTCGAAGTAATGGATGAGCAAGTTTCATCTAGTCTCGAGAACCTCTACTTTACAGGTAGCAAATTATTTAAAAAATTGCAAGTAAATTCGCCAATTTTTACAGGAGCATTGGATAGAGGAATAAGTGTTATAATGGGTGATCATGGTAATCGTATTGGATTGGTTCAATACTCTTACAATGGCAGAATAGAAGAGCGTATGCCGCTAATGGCAATTCGTTTGCCTCCGGACTTCAAGAAGATTTATCCGAAAGAATATGCAAACTTCCTCAACAACAAATGGAAACTGACGAGGTATATTGATTAGAAGCAATCGGTTCACGAATCTCTTAAAAAGCAAGAGACGAAGATAACTGTCAACAGAGTTGCAGCAATGAAAACATTGCTAAGCCCGAGTCTTCACCTTTTTTTGCTGGTCGTGTTGTAAATCCTTAAATTCAACCCCACGGAAAGGGGCAGTACACTTCTATACTTGGGCTTATATTTCCGGTGGTTTTTGCCTATTTTTCCGGTGCCCGCCCGCCCATGAATCGCATGGCCGTTTGCCCCTCTCGATTATCTGAGCAGCCCAGAGATGAACAAGCTTCTCGACTGATATGGTCAGGCACGATCTGCTTGAGGCACAATTTTCAAAAATCAAATTTCTTTGCACTAACATAGGTTGACGAACATAGACTCACTTTTATCGCATAGATAGCCAGTAAGAATCGAATATGGATTATCAAGCTCGTATGCACGTGATTGTCGCTGAGTATAAGGGGGCAGGTGGGCTTTCAGATAATCGCGGGGGGCAGGCGGCCATGCGAATTTTGAGCAAGGGGGCACCGGAAAGATAGTTCGCTGATTTCTTGCGGCTCGCTTGCAGAATTTTGGAGGAATGTTGACTAATTTTCAGACGAATGCTCGGAGAAATATCTTTTTCTCGGAGAACTTTTCCTATAGGATTAGTTGAGGCGAATTGGCCGCATTCTCGCGGACTTTCCACGAGAATATGCAAAATTATTGATGGCGGCCCGGTCCTTTGCGAAGGACCACACTGCCCAGGGTACCTTCCGCTGAAAGAAGGTACCCCAAACGCGAGTAGTTAAACCATCGATGACAACTCTGCCACATAGAGTCTCACCTTTGCTCGGCGTACACCCGAAACTGCGTAAAAAGAGTCCGAGTGCTTGCTGAGGTTGGCTAACGCTCGCTGAAAAAAAATTATTTGCCGAACGCTTGCAAAAAATGTATGTTGTATTGCTGCCCGCTGGCAGAATATGCGACCGTAAAGGAAGTGCCGCCCGCTGAAGGTTTGGCCACGCCCCAAAATTCTGCTGACCGCCTGCAGAAAAGCGCGAGTTTGCGGTCCGCTTGCCCCCGGCGATTATCTGCTTGCTTGGCTTGAAGGGTCCCGCCATTTCCAAGCAACTCCTTTGGAACGAGCCGGTTATCGCGGTATTCTTGATAGTCGTAGAGGTTTTTGTGAGTGGGCGTGACTTGCTGAAACTCCCTTGTTGATAATTTACGTTTCGACACTTCCGTCATCAGAGCCTGGAAGTCGAACTTACAAGCAACCCGTCTACCACCTTCGCCTTCATACTAAGGCCTTTACAGGCATGCTGTGGCGTCACCTTGAAAAGATATCAAGCCAAGTGCTATGGCAAAGCTTTTAACAATCTTAAACGTCCGCTTATTGTTCATTATTTCATGCTGTTTGCTCCAAGGCCCGATACGAGGTCAGACGGACTTTGGAATTTTGCAGGTTTTTGGACTGGATAGAAGAAATGCAGCGAACCATTAGGCCCATGTGTGAGAGCACGCAAAAAACCCGTAAAAAAGATTTGAAACTCTAGGATAGGTTTATTGGAGTTTCAAGCTTTCAAACAAATTACACGAAGACTTTGAGGTACATCTCTTGCGCTAGCCGAGATAGCCGCTTTTGACATAGTCCTGCGTATGCTGCTGTTTTCAACTCAGTCTCAACGATGTCATGGGGTTGCGACGCTTCCAAAAATCGAAACTACCTGCCGTGACTACCTGCATCCCACAGTCTGTGATGTTATAACTGCATCTGAGCAGGATGATAATTTCGGTGTCGTCCGGGACTCTTTTTTCTCTGCGCAGGTGTCATTCCATCGAAGTGGTTATACCCGTGGAAGGTGCAGGTGCAGCGAGGCAATGCGCAGTGTGAGAGCGCAGGTAAGCAAACGAAAAGAGCGAAACAAGCAAGGCATTTAGCCTTGCCTGCCTTGTGTCCTTTTTGGCGCAAAGAAGCATTGGACATGCATTTTTCCTGGTATTGCTGCACTACCTACTGCTCATAATATCTGCAGAAGAGACGCGATGCTCACATGAGTTGTATAACATCACCGTGGCGCGGTCACATCTCGCTTCAGAGTGAATGAAATTCAATGAGGCCACCATTGATTCAGCACGAGCGCATAATCCGATATATAGAGGCCCTCGCTCAGAAACGACATGTGCATAGTAGGCAACCCGATTTCACGAATGAATACAATTTTTGCTTATAGTAGTCAGTATGCAGTAATCAAGATAACCTACCATCACCAAAAATTTGAAAGCACTTGCGAGAGTGGCTGCATATGGTGCGGCTGCCGTTACCAAACAAGCACGTTTATATATCAAAAGAAGCTCCTTTTTAAGCTGCATCGAACTATCCGTCACCAATACCACTTGTATCCCCGTTGTTCATCGTGTTGCACGAGTGGTACCACTGATGCTTCCATTCGTCCCTATCGCGGGCGATTGTTGACCAGTGTCTGCGTATCGCACCAGGAACACGTGGGACGCTTTGCAGTACATTACTAGATGACTTCGTGACATATCTGACCATCGTGCCGGCGGTCTTCCTCGTTCGCGTTTGACGTCCAGTGGTATCCAGACTGTTACAACTCTCGTCCACCGATTGTCGTCGAAGCGCATTACATGCCTGACCCATCTCATCTTTTCGCTTGACGTACGCAGCAGCTTTCCTGATCTTCAATCGATGACATAAAGTAGAACTTCGTATTCCTTCCCTCACTTGCGTGAGTTGGTTCACTCTTAACATCACTCTCTCAACAGCACGTTCAATAACGCTGACCGCGTGTTTACCCTGCTTCCTCATTGTCCATGTTTCTGAAGCATTCGTCAAAGCGGGAAGAACTCCAGTTGAAGAGATGGGCGCGGGGCCGGATGTCTTATATGCTCCCCATGCTGCACGTTTCCTCCTGCTCAATTCCGGAGCTAGATCGTTCATCATATTGATTTCCCGACTAGGTAGGCGTAGCTTGAGCATTCGGTGATGTTCATTCCGTTGAGCATGAAGGAAGCATCAGGTACTCTTCCGTTCTTCATGAACATCGTCTCCGTAAGGTTTGAATGGCCCAGTTTGATGAAGTGTGTGGTTCAGCCGTAGACCGGCTGAACGCCCACTTCAACAAACTGAGCCATTTGTTCTGCCTGCGTGGTGCTTGGTGTCATGAATACAATGTCATCAGCAAAGCGAAGGTGATGTAGTTGCCGGCTGTTGACTTCCACACCCATTTCGTCCCATTCTAACGTCCCCATGACGTTCTAGAGGGTGGCGCTGAATAGCTTATAGTATCGCCCTGTCGTCGTACCCCTCTATTCACGTCAATGATGATGTCCTTGTAGAATGGTGTGATAGTGGTTGTGAAGTCGCTATGAAGCTCACGGCTTATCCTTATGTGCTGAGTGGGAATACCTTGATTACTCAAGGCATCGATGACGGCTTCAGTCTCAATCGAGTCAAAGGCTTCCTTCAAGTCGACGAAGCCCGTGATACTTCGATGAGCCTTGACACCGTGTGTATGTGGTCTATCGTACTGAATCCTCTTCGATACCCAGCTTGCTCGCATGGTTGTCCTTCATCTATGTCTCTTCCGATCCTGTTGAGAATGACTCGCACAAAGAGTTGTAGACTACGGACGACAGGGAGATGGGGTGATAATTGCCAATGTCGCGAGGGTCTCCCTTCTTGTACAGCAGCACAGTCTTGCTGGTTTTCTATTGACTTGAAACTTTGCCTTTCGTCATGTACCGCGTGAGGTGCCTTGCCAAAGTTCTAATAAAGACTGGCGAAAGTTTTTTCAGATGTTCTGGCTTAATCCTGTCGGACCCGAGCGCTGTACGTTTCTTCAAGGAAATGATAGCATTACGATTCTCGGAAGAAAGAACCGACGGTGCGACATAGTCGTCCTCCCTGAGGTGACTTGGAGGCAGGTGGAACATGGCTGTCAAAGAGATCCGTAGAAATTGTAGATGACCTTCTCCATTGACCTTCGGGAAGCAATTAAGGTTCCGTACGACGAAGTGCGGTCATCCTGGTCTTGAAGTTGACAAAGCTTCAGCGGGCGTTGCGTATTTTTCCAGCCTCAGCGGCGCCAACCATCACTGCTGCTCTTCTCTCCTTGAGATCTTCTCTTATCGCTTCTCTGCATTGCTTCGCAAGCTCGGAGTCAGTCAATAGTTGCCTGTGGCTGCGTGTCCACGTTGGTGTATCAGCTTTCAAGTCTTCGCAGTAAGACGCTTTCTGGTGTTAGACTCTGAGCTTCTTCCTTGGCACAATCGGGGAGATGTTGGACGAACCGTTGGTATTCTTCGTCGATGTTGCCGATCTACCTCTCCAAAAGCCGGATAACGAAGAAAATAGGCCCCAGTTGATAGTAGTCGCAGGACGATGTTTCCTGAACTTTACGGCTTTTTCTCCATTCAATGGGAAGTAAAACTTGGCACGTAGGAGGCAATGGCTGATCCCGTGAAGAATTTCGGAACAACAACGACGTCCGTCAGGCAGTACCTTCTGTAGACGATGATGTGGTCAATCCGTTGTGGTACTCTTCATCGGGAGATTCCCAGGTCCAGCGTAGGAAAGGTGATTATTGGAACGGTGAGTTTCCATGGGTGGTCTTCGTCATCAGGATGAACTCAGACAGTCTTCTCCCTTGTTCGTTCCACTGTAGTCCCTGGGTTCCGATGGGAAGTTCTGCATGCGACCTTCTAGCTCCGATCTTTGCGTCGAAGTCACCGATGATTTCGTAGAAGGTGTGGTCTTCTCTGTAGACCCCTCCAAGTCCATATAGAGAGCTTCGAGCTCGTCCTCGTCGTAGCTTGATGTCGGGGCACTCGCAATGAAGACGGTCAAGCTCTGGATTAGTTCACATCTTGATATTCGTAAGCGTCTGATTCGGGTTGTTAGTTGCTCCAAGGATTCGATGTTCATGGCCAAACTCGCGTTGACAAGGACTCCAACATCGCCTACCCCTCTGCTGTCGCATGTCCCTAAAAACAGTTTTTCTTCAGTCTAGAAGGTAGCATTCATCGGGTGTGTCTTCTTGTCTCTGTCAGTCCGATAATCGTACTTGATCTTTTTGGCTTGCATCATAAGATCTTCGATGGATGCCTCCAACGCGAGGATCCGTGCGTTGAAAGTACCGTCGTCATCATCGTCCGTGTCGCTTTCGGCAGCCTATGTCGCGCTTCAAACCTTGTCCCACTGGCGCTGCCTTACCAGCGGCTCTTTCAAGATTAAGGCACTTTCAATTTATAACTGTAACAATTAAATTACTCACAGGAGGAGCTTGTTGGGCTTAATTCTCCCTCGGATGGTTAAAGCTCATTTGTTAGAGGCGACTCCGAGTACGCCTCTTCCACACTTACCCGGGAAAGAAGTATGCAAGCTTTCAATAGAGATAGGGAGTCTGTCCTCCGGCTCCGCTTGCTTATCTGAGCAGGCTTGGGTCGCTTTTGTTCAGCAAATATCCTCCTACCCGCCACCTGGGACCCCCCCCCCCCCTCCCCCACGTAGCCTCGCGACTAACCGGCTTGTATCCTTCTAACAGGGAGATTCGTGGACCGAGTAGTGTCATCGAATACAGCATTTGCCCGCGCTGAAGCGAGTATGGCTACGCTAGATGTCACCAAATTCAAGTCACCGTCACGTCTTTTTTGCAGGAATTATAAGCGTTAATGTATAAACGTCCTCAATCCATTCATCCGGTGGGCGCATGCAAATTTGAACTTAGGCAGGCCGGTTGCGCGGCACCCTCAGCCCTGAATGCAAGCCTAGCCCATGTTCCTTCGTTTATTTTTCTCAGCCTTTTTCTCAGCCTCTGGAGTGTATGCCCGCGCAGAGATAGCAAACCCCGCCTTTCCTATAATCTAGCAGACTTTGAATATTTCCGAGCACCAAAGCAAGCGAGTGCACATTTTTGAACGTTAATGGTAAACGGTGTTTAGATTACAAAGACAAGACTTCAAAAGGTAATTTTTTACACCGCTTCGTGATTTCCTCCCCTTTCCCAGTTTTCCAAACACCTTGAAATCTGAACGTGTAATCTGAAAAACCCATCTAAGCCACCCATGTGTAACCTTTTTGAGATCATTCAAAACTCATTTTGTCTGATACTTCTCGCCTAGTCAACTTAGAGTGCCTCAATCATCTCTAACGATAACCTCTCAGACAATCCGCATAATACTTCCGAGAAAAACCCCAACTGCCGCGGCAGCGGCGAATAATTAGAGCCATGCACTAATTAGGCTGCTTGGGCTAGCGGTGCAGAATAACCGTCTCACCTCCGCGTGCTAACGATAATCTTAATAATTGACGATTTTACTTTTCTTCAGGTGATGTTTAAATGCCAGTCTCTTCATCTCTGTTTTAGCAATTGAAATTGGTAGTTTTGCTCGTAAATTCCTTTTCGATTAGTAAAATGTGCAGAAGTTTTGCCTTAGTGACTTGTATAATACAAATTCCCCAACAGCATCGTTTCTGAATGCTCATGAAAACAGAGTTGAGCAAGTGAGGCTAATGGTATGAATAGTGGAACAACAACAAAACCATCATTTCTGATCACGAACATTATTGCAACACAAACAGCATACAACGACAAAAAAACAGAGGAAAAGCGTTTTGTGAGAGCTGAGAAAGCCGCGCACTAGCGCACCCGACCTGTTCCAGCTCAGATAATCGCGGGGGGCAGGCGGTCCGCAAACTCGCGTTTTCTTGCAGGCGGTGAGCAGAATTGGGGCGTGGCCAAACCTTCAGCGGGCGGTGCCTCCTTTACTGTCGAATGTCCTGCTAGAGGGGCAGAATACAGAGTTTTCTGCGGGCGCTCAAATAATTTCTTTCAGCGAGCGCTGCCATAAATCCAGTGAGCGCTCGGACTCTTTTTACGCAGTTTCGGGCGTAGGTCGAGCAAATGTGACTCCATACTGCAGAGGTGTCATCGATGGTAAAATTACTCAAGTTTGAGGTACTTTCTCTTAGCGGAAAGTACCTGAGGGCTGTGCTGTCTTCCACAAAGGACCGGGCGGCCAATAATTTTGCATATTCTCGCGGAAAGTCCGCGAGAATGCGGCCAATGCGCCGCAACTAATCCTGTAGAAAAACCGCGATAGTTCTCCGAGCATTCGTCTGAAAATTAGTCAACATTCCTCCAAAGTTCTGCAAGCGAGCCGCAAGAAATCAGCGAACTATTTTTCCGGTGCCCCCTTGCTCAAAATTCGCATGGCCGCCTGCCCCCCGCGATTATCTGAAAGCCCACCTGCCCTCTTATACTCAGCGACAATTACGTGCATACGAGCTTGATAATCCATATTCGATTCTTACTGGCTATCTATGCGATAAAAGTGAGTCTATGTTCATCAACCTATGTTAGTGCAAAGAAATTTGATTTTTGAAAATTGTGCCTCAAGCAGATCGTGCCTGACCATATCAGTCGAGAAGCTTGTTCATCTCTGGGCTGCTCAGATAATCGCCGGGGGCAGGCGGCCATGCGATTTATGGGCGGGCGGGCACCGGAAAAATAGTTCGCTGATTTCTTGCGATCCGCTTGCAGATATTTGGAAGAATTTTATCGAAATTTCAGACGAATGCTTGGAGTACAATCGCGGTTTCTCTATAGATTAGCTGCGGCGCAGTGGCCGCATTCTCGCGAGAATATGCAAAATTTTTGGAGTCCGCGCGGTCCTTTGTGGAGGACCGCGCAGCCTCCAGGTACTTTCCGCTGGGAATAAGTACCTCAAACTTGAGTAATTAAACCAACGGTGACACCTCTGTCACATAGAGTCTCATCTTTTCTCGGCGTACGGCCGAAACTGCATAAGAGTCCGAGCGCCTGCTAAAAGTTCGACCAGCGTTTGCTGAAAGAGATTATTTGACGAGCGCCTGCAGAAAATTCTGTGTTGCTGCCCGCTGGCAGAATATCAGAAAGTAAAAGAAGTACCGCTCGCTAAAGGTCTGGCCACGCCTCAAAATTGTGCTGGCCGCTTGCAGAAAAGCGCGAGTTTGAAGACCGCCTGCCCCCGGCGATTATCTGAGTGGTTGTTGATTGAAAGCTACGTAATGCATATGAACATTAATTTACAATATTTCCTCTTGCTTTTAAAGCAATATCCAACTTAACTTTTGGAACCTCGTGCCGTGCCCTTCTTGCCTAGTATGTCCTGTGTCGCTTCTTCCCATGACGAACACGACCAACCAAAGGTACATTTGATCAAGAAAAGTCGTTCCATTTTCTCTATCCCGCTTCGATCCGTTGAATGAACTGCATAAGTACGCGTCAGCGATTTCTGCAGAAACTTAGCATGCTGAATATTGGATACTTTCTCCATTTAATAATGGCAAAGAATCCATGAATTTAGACTGCAATTATTCGGATTTCAGCAATTTTGACATTCACCAAACTCTGAAAGACTTCGCATTGATGAGTTTTGGAAGCGCTAGAAGACATGCCACGCGATCATATGGTCGAGGGATTAGTCTGTTTGAGGAAATACCTGCTAATAGGTCAGAGTCATTCATAAAACACTTCAGTCTATACTGCGCTTGATCATCTGACAGGTATAATCTGGAGGAACCTTTGCAGAACCTGCATGGACGCTTACATTCCTGAAAACTTCTGTACGTGCATGATAAACCGCGCGCATACATCGACAAGAAAAAGGAAAGTAGGCGAAGTAGAAAAGGTTTGTGATACTCAAAGAGAAGTACCATCATAGAACAGTTTTTCAGAAATTAGTTGAAAGTATACAAGTCTGGATCGAAAACGACAACGAACTTACAGACTGTCTCGAGGAAGCAAACGTAGGCTTCAGTTTTACATGCTCGGAAACTTATTCTTTCTCTCTTAATCTTCAAAGTACTTATCGCTTAGATCACAATAATTGGTGACGCCTCGGTGCTCGGTCTGAATGCGTTTGCGAGGTATGGAACGCGGAGGAGAGGAACTTTCAAATACGTCACAAGGATCTTGAACATGCCTCCGAATATGAACGTACGTGAGATTATTGTAATAGCTAATCAAGATAGTCTCAAACAGCAGTAGGCCTACAGCAAACCCTACATACTACATTTGGACCGCTTCGAATGTTTATTCGATATTCGAATAGATCATTCGAATGCAAGTGATCCGAAAATTCGAATATCCGCAAATCTAACATTTCGGAAATTATCCGACAGTCGATTATTCGAGATTTTTCATTTTCGAATATATTCGAAAGCCGAGCATTCGAAAATCTCAGCTTTCGAATATTATTTGATAGTTAATACTCGATGGTCATTGATTCGATTACTCGATGTTCATCAATTACTCGAATAATCGATAAGCATCGAATATCCGAAAATTCGATGAGCGACCACGCAAAAATTCGCTGAACTTCAAGTATTAGAGAATTCGATAACCATTGCCATCTACAGAGTGCCTTAAAGGCATCCATATTTTTTGATCCTAATATTTCTCTTCACACAATGACTTTTGCCAATCTTGAGGTGCTTCCGTAAAGCTCGCTCCAGCTTACATTTGCAGGAAGAACGTGGATTACCCTGAGCTGTTATTATTACAGGATTACGGTAGGGCCCTCACTTCAAAGTCTTCGTTTCTCGGTGAAAGCACTGAAGAAGTCAGGAATATTTATTAGAATAATATAAGTAAACAGAAATAGGAGCAGTGAGTGAACAATAAAACAATAGAACTCCCTGAAGCAAAGAGTGAGCGATCATACAGTCATACACAGACATCACTATCATTATAAACAATTGAAAAATTGAAAAAAAAAACTATACAAACACTACGTACTAAGCTAGAAACCTTTTCACTGGTCTTCTCGTTCTGCTCGATCTCCGAAGGGTCGACGGCTGTGTGGAGGGCTAATGGTTCGAGATCGATCTCCCTGAATTCACTGCTCAGACAATCAAAGGCTATGGCGAGGCGGCTATAAACAGCAATTTCAGTGAGCGGGCGACGACACTGCAAGAATGGCGGTGAGCGGGCAGCTATAAACTTCCATGAGTCAGAAAATAGCTGCAGAGCGCATTCATTGCTACAAATGCAGCCAGAAGGCGGCGACGAGGCAGCGACTCCATTAGGCTGGCAGTACCCCGGAAACGATGGAGATGCGAATACAGGACTTCTGTGAGCGGGCCGCATAAAAGCTATGAGAAGGCAGCCTTAATTCGTAAACGTTGTATTGTGGCTGCCAACTGGAAGGCATATCGTTGCCTTTCGAGACCCTGTTGATCGCACTAGAAAAGTTAGATGTACAGGCAAGCGAGTTTTGCAGTTTAAACTTGCCTCACTTTTGGTTTCATTGTTGCCTCATCTTCGTTTGTATTACAGTGTTACTCGCGCGTTACTTTACTTGTCTTCCTAGGCTGCAATTGCTCTCTTTTGTTTTGTACTATCTCATTATTACAAAGCATTTCTGTTGATGTTTTCCTTTCTTATCCAGCCTTAAACGTTGTCTCGTATCTTCATTGCATATAGAGTACTTCATAGTCGGTACAACTATCATTCTATCTTATGCTGAACAATAAGTAGAGGATCACATTTCACCCCAAATGTATGGCACAATGAACTCGGTTACTTGTACTTTGACTTGCAAAACTGTTGCCTATCAAACGCTCAACGAACGTTTTTAAAAGTGTGTTCAAACTGCTGCATTTACTGACCCTCAACAGTAACTTTTTATAGCTTTTATAGATAAGAGAACGGCAAAAGTAATAAACTTGACCAATCTCCTTGACTTCCGTAATGGCTTTAAGTGTTTGAACACACTCTCCACTTTGAAGGAAGTCGATCACGAAAAACTATCAAATACCAGTGTGATAAATCAGGTACCACTGTGTTAAATATAATCAAAGTAGCTTTTGGCTTTTGGTTAACAGAGGTAGGTCTTCTGCGGAGTTTGAATGTTTTCTAAAATAAGATTTGTACAAATATATAAGTTTATTAAGGTTTTGTTACATCGTCATATACTGTTGCTAATCATATTTGAAGTCAATTTGTTGCTTTTTATTGCGTTTCCATATGCTTTCTCAAAGTCCCTTGTAAGCGATTTTCTTACATCGTGTATAGCGGTTTTCTCACATCGTACTTCAGCTTAGATTAAGTCATAAGTCATGTACTATTGGTATCAAATCGCTTTGGTGTTCCGCGCCGCATTGGTTTGGTGCGCATGCTTGCATCGCCCGTGCACGGCGTGGCGGGCGCTTACACCTGGTTGCCAGTCGTTATCAGCTAATTTCGCAGCCCATCAGATCGTTTTTTGGCTAGTTCTTTTATTTTCGTTTTTCTTGTCAGGATTTCCGCTGGAAAAGTGATAGGCCGGACCCAGTCAGACAGATGTATATACCGTTTTTGCAATGACACCTAGAAAAGTGAATTTTCTGTTACCTAATAATGTGCAGCGACTGGTTCTGCCTGTTCCTCTTCTATTTTTCCTTTGCCAGGCGACACCAGCTGATGCCGCTTGATCGAAAGTAAAATGTATCTTCACTCGATAATCAGCATAAAAAAGTTGAAGTTGTTTTAGCTTTTGCAGGAAGTTCGAAAATAGACTAACAGCGAAAATTCACTCTTTTAGGTGTTATTGCAAAAACTGCATATACATATGTCCGACTAGGGCCGGCCTATCATTTTTCCAGTGGAAATCCTAAAAAGAAAAGCGAAAATAATAAATAACCAGCCAAAAAACGATCTGGTGGCTGCGGAATCAGCTGATGACGACTGGCAAAGCACCAGGTGTGAACGCCTCCCGTCGTGCTTGGGCGATGCAAAACGTGCGCACCAAACCAATGCGGCGCGGAAAATATCAAGGCGAATTGATACCGATGGTACATGATTCATGATTTAATCTAGGATGATGTACGATGTGAGGAAGCCGCTATACACGATGTGAAAAAATCGCTTACAAAGGACCTTGAGAAAGCATATGAAGACGCAATGAAAGGCAACAAGCTGGCTTTATATGATTAGCTAGTGATTATTTGTTCTCGCAGTGTATGACGATGTAACAAAACCTTAATAAACTCTTATATCTGTACGAATCTTAATTTGGAACAATAAAATTCCTCATGAACCTACTTCTGACAGCCTTATCGCCCCACTGTCGCTTCCCACTGAGAACCGTAGAAGCCAGCGGGCTACAAATATGGCGCTGAGCGGGACGCTAAAGCTGGCAACGGGCGGACTGTTATAAGATTTTAGTGGGAAGCGAAAGCGGCGATAAGGGCACGGCGCTTTTGGTGGGTTTTCGCGGTGGCTTGGCGGCTGCCGGCTGAGAGCCTTTGATTGTCTGAGTGGTGCTGGCACCTCGTTCGTCGCTTGCTCAGAACTCTCTTTAGTACACTGCCATTCCTAAATAGGGTTTTGTCTTCGGTTAAAATCTAACAATATCTTCAGAGCTTCGGACTTTTTTTAAGTTGTTGTTGAACGGCAAGGTGTTCGCTGTCGCTTCTATGCCGGAGCTGATTTGCGTACTTCTTGCAGATTTCATTACCAACCATTACTTCATAGTTGACGCGTCTACGTCCCATCACCGTTCCTGTCATCCAATGAAAGTGGAGTGGCTTCCACTGCTTAGCGTATACCAGGTCACCAGCTTCGAAATCGTTTCGAACGACTTCATGCTTCTGGTCGAGTTGATCCTTCATGCCCTCTCGTCCTCTTCGAGCGAATGGGTCTTCTGCATCTTCTTCATCGGAAGTAATAGACGTAATCTTGTGCGCAAGTTTAACCCTAAGAACAATTCTGCTGGAGTTTTATCGTTTGAGTTCGTGTTTGGTGTTGTCCTATACGTTTGTACCACCACGTTCAAAGTCTCTTTTGTTGGCCTCTCCTCCCCCTTTAGTTTCTTGATCCCACGTTTCAGCGGTATCAACAAAGCCTTCCATTCGATTGAGGGTGGTAGTACGGAGCAGTCCTTATATGCGAATTCCACCTTCGTCGCACATCTTCTTAAACAAGTTCGACGTGAACTGAGTACCGTTGTCGCTCACTATTGTTTGCGGTAATCCATATCTCGCAAACAAATTCTTCAAAGCCTTCATTGTTTTCGCAGCCGAAATGTTGCTCATCTCGATCATTTCAGGCCATTTACTATATGCATCCACCAGTGGCGTACCGAGGGGGGGGGGCGGGGGTGGGGCGCCCCCCCCCCCCCGAGAATGGGTCGCGAAATTTTTGAAAGTTACTTATATGGGTTATAAAAATGTGGAAGTGACTTGTTTGTTTTTGTAAGTAATTAAAATAATTTTTAAAAATTTTTAAAAATTCAAATTAGCCTTATATAAAAAAAATTTTCGGGGGCGACTCGTAAAAATTCTTAGAAGCACCCCAAAAAATTTTTCGGAGTGCGTGGCTAACGCCATGCACCTTCATTTGAAAAAAATTTTTGTCGCGCCCCCCCCCCCCCAGCGGAAATCCTGGGTACGCCACTGGCATCCACTACTATCAAATAGGACTCCTTGCATAGGTCCAGCGAAGTCGATGTGTATCCTCTGCCAAACTCGAGTCGCGGATGGCCATGTTTCCAATGTTACTTTCGTCGGATCTAATTCCTGACATTTCGTACATCTTCGTAGCAAGTCTTCGCAATCTTTGTCGATATTTGAACAGCAGACGTAACTTTGAGCTAACTTCTTCATCCTTAACTATCCCTGGATGTCCAAAATGCATTTCTTTCAAAACATTTGGTCGAAGCTCCTTGGGTATCACTCAGATACTCGCCGGGGGCAGGCGGTCCGCAAACTCGCGCTTTTCTGCAGGCGGTCAGCAGAATTTCGGGGCGTGGCCAAACATTCAGCGGGCGGCACTTCCTTTACCGTCGCATATTCTGCCAGCGGGCAGCAATACAGGATTTCTTCCAAGCGCTCGGCAAATAATTTCTTTCAGCGAGCGTTAGCCAAACTTTCAGCAAGCTCGGACTCTTTTTACGCATTTTCGGGCGTACGTCGAGCACAGGTAGACTCTGTGTGGCACAGGTGTCACCGTTGGTT